ATATATATATATATATATATATATATATATATGTATATGTATGTATGTATATAGATATATATCTCATTGCATTTTTTTCAGTAATCTAATTCACTGACATCTTTTAAAAACAATAAAGATGATACATTGTACTGCTCATTATTACAAGAATCGTTTTAAATAGGTATAATAGATAAAAGTCAACAGCCAATCGAGCGAGATGTTATGACTTATGATTGAATCTCATACAATATAGATAGCTATTTGTATTGTATAAATTACAAATATAGTTTCCTCATCCTCGAATGAAAAAGTTTTTAATATTCTTGAAATTACAAGCTCCTACTTATCCTAAATCCGTCTACCACGTACGAGCCTTTAAAACAAGAGCTAGGAAAACGATTCGAGTTCTACAAAATAAGAGGACTTGTGTGAAACTCAGAATGACAGGTGTTCCTTTTTTTTCTTCCCATACAAAACATAGCGATTTTATTCTACAAATAAATTTTGGTTAGTTATTCCTGTTCGAAAACTTGCATGTTGATTCTCTTTTCCTTTCTCTTCCCTTTCTCTATTTGTGATGCGCCACTTAATGTGGTGGTACATCGTACCGTCATTGGTGCGCATGTGTATTTTATATTCAATAATATTAACAAATAGTGTAACACTCATGATAACGCTGATGAGCATGATGTAATTCGATTTCTTTGTGAAAATGGCAATGAATGCATCAAATGGCGGTGCAGCAATGTAGGCGTAAGTACCAGGTCGCGTATGATGATCGGCCCGGATGATCACGCAGTCGTTACATTTGACACCAAGCTCCTGTCACAAACGGCGCTGACGCTGATGCCGATGCTGCTATCGCCGCCAGCTGCGTGATTCGCCATCCTCGTCTTCTTCTTCCTCGTTCTCCTCTAAGAGTAATGCCTCCGTGCCCTGAAAAAATCATTAAAGCCTTTAAAAAACTAATAGAAAATGTAGAGATGTTCTGATGACAGAACATCTACATTAATAAAATATTACCGAAAAGTTTCGTTAGCCTATATTCCCCAATTGCCCTCTCATCGGCTGGTGCCTAGTAATTTTTCTCTTTGTTTACCAATAAGAATGTTTTATTTATTAAATTGGCGAATTAGCGATGTGCGCAAGATATGCATAAGCGGAACCCTCCCATTTATTACATAAAGGACACAGCATGTCATATCACAGCTGCATTTATAATTTCAGATAAATAAAACAAAAATTTTCCTTGTTGAATATTTTCTTGCCTATTTTCGAAATCTAAACAAAAGCCACAGAAACCATTTTAATTTCCAACAAATTTTTAATTTCCAATATGTTAGTACAGTAATTTGTAAATTTGTTTATAACTACTTGTTTATTCTATTTATTATTATTCTGATTAAAATTGAAATTATATATATATATATATTTATATATATATATAAAATTATATTTATTATATATATAGAAAGCTCTAAAACTTACTTCTAAGTCAATATCTTCATCTGCGGTAGGTGCGGTTTGTTCGGCACGCGATGAGAGCTGTATAGATGCGCTCGAGTTAGTACCAGCTCCTCCACGATGTAAATGATGGCCGGATACCCAAGTTATTGATAACAGTCTGTCTTGAAATGTACGTCCTTTCACAAGGGCCACTTCAGCCTCCTTTCTCGATTTGAAATTAATCACAATCGAAGGAGTCGCATCATCAACTATTTGATTCACTATTTCACCAAATTGCTGAAACACAAAAAAAAATTGGCAATATTAATTGCATATCATACGTTTATTAAAACATAATGAAAGGAATATGTAAAGCCTTACACATAATTATAACAACAATATCAGTTCTGAGAAAAAAAAGATTGATTTATGTTTTTAGTAATAAAGAAGAAACTTATGAAAAATAATTAAAACTATTTCAGGAATTGGAAATATAACATAATACAATAACAATTTTTTGTGTATCTTTCAGTTATTTTTGAGCGATAAAAAAATAACTGTGGATCCGTCTCGTTTCATGCATAATGTGCATATGATACATCATTTTATCGTTATTCTTCGTCGAATTAAATTAGGATAAAACAATGCATTATCATAAAAGGAGCGCACTTTATATGGAAATATTATAAATATCATAAATGCATAAATATCTTACTTGAAAATGCGCTAGGACTTCTGCCTTCTCTTCAGTTTCATAACCAGAGACTAGAAGACTCGTTGGCCGATGATCCACTGAGACATGGGCAAAACTTCCTCTGCCGCGACCTCTGAAGGATATCGTATGCGTACCGCGTGCTACTCGACTAACTTTTGCACCTCTACCCACGCCAGGATTCGTGTTCAAACCCAACGCGGCTGCTTGGGCTCGAAGTTCGTTCAATCTCTTCTGCAACTCACCAGCGTCTTGACCTTCTTGTTGTGCAGTCATTAAATCTAACTCGGCGTCCAGTATTTCCTTTTGCGCTTGCTCCCTAGACTTGACCTGCGACTTATTACCGCCAATCTGGCCGTTTGCAGCCAAATCCTTGCGCAAATTGTCAACCGACTGTTGCATAGTCTTTATCGTTGGCATGATCGATTCCTTCTGCTCTGGATTCTTTTCGGCCTTGTCAATCAAGGCACGCAATTCAATCAGATGCTTATCTAGTAACTCTTGTTTTCTTTTGCGTAGATCAGCGGTCAGCTTTATTGCCTCCTTACGTTTCTCCTCCTGCTTCTTCTTTAGTGTTTCCTTCGCCGCTAGTATCTCTTGTGTTTTCTTTATCGCAAGAACTTTATCCTCTCGAGTAGGAATAACGGCAGCTTTAGGTGAAGTTGGAACCAAGGCTTGCGTGACTTGTTCCTCGGTCGAACGACGCGTGGGAACATATTCGTTATCTTCAGTTTTTGTCGATAACGTTACTGCAGCGCCTAGCCTTTCTTTAACAGAGGGACGGCATCCTGAATACAATAAAATTTCTCGTTATTAAGTCGCTTAATAATTTAATGTATATCTATAATATTTATTGTAAATAATAAAAGGTATGCTATCTTACCCGGTGGCACATTTTCAATAGCTCCACTAGCCGCATTATTATTGACATTATTATGCCAAAATACTTTAATAAATCTATTATTTAACACAGCCTCTGCGCTTCTGTAAGCAGACTTTGCTTCGGCTGGCAACTGGAAAGTAACCAAGGCTGCCTCAGGATCGCCACCAAAATTAACTTGGATATTTACAATTTTACCAAATTTGGAAAAATGATTATTCAATTGAGTTATATTGTTTAAGCTTCGCGGAACCTTTTTCAGTTCGAGAGAACAATTGGCCGGGTTATGCACCACTCTCTGTTTCGGTCCTAGACGATTAAAGTCGAACGTTTGTTTGCGTTTTAATGGATTGCTTTGGGTATGGGTTATTTCTGATGAGTTTGTGTGGGGAATAACTGGCACACTGATCAGTTCTCTTTGTCCTCTGCCATAAATCCCAGGTGCAGATTGTGGATGTCTACCCCATGGCATTCGTGGCTCCATGCTAGGTGCGTCCGGATTATATTCTGCAAAAACATCTACCATATTTAATTCATTACATTTTAGAATATATGAAATACCGCGCTTAAACTGTATGATACAATATATAATAAGATATAAATAGGATAATAGGGCATGTAAGAGTTTGTATTTTAAACTACAAATATTTTTTATATATTAAAAAATAAAACCATTATATTCTAATCAATTATAATTAAATTACGATATTACATGTTTCGGCCTTTCAATTAGGCCCTCTTAAGATATATATTAAACGCAAAGATGTTACCATAATCAAACCAGTATTAAAAAACATGGAATAAACGTATGTTGTGAGACCAGTTGAACGTTGCATAGAGGAACGGAATATAATGTATTCCATATCTTTTAACATTGTTTGATTATGGTAACATTTTTGCGTTTAGTATATATCTGAAGAGGGCCTAATTGAAAGGTCGAAGCATATAATATCGTAATTTAATTATAATTGATTAGACTATAATGATTTTATTTTTTAACATATAAAAAGAATTTGTATTTTAGACTCTTATATGCCTTATTATTGTATTTATTTCTTATTAATGTCAAGAGTCCTTTTTTATTATCATTAACAATAAATATAATTATGATATAACTTCATAGTTGGCCCTTTTTTTATAATTTGTTAATTTTAGTTTAAACCGGAGTTACAATTTTATGAGTGTATTAACCAGTTTACGTATTTATTATACAGTTGAAATGTCCCAATAAAACAAATTAAATATACTATAATATGAAAGGAACTGCATATTTGTTTTTACAGTAAATATGTGCCGAATAGACTATGTTGAGATACACATTGTCAGTACTAAAAATTTTTAGCTTTACATATAGTATGAATTTTCAGTATTGGCAACGTATATATCTAAATACGATCATAATAGCACCTATTAAAATTAAAATACTTTGTTTTATTTTTAGTTTTTATCTATAACAATTGGATGTAATAATAGTTGTGTGTATTTATTGATCAGACTTATGTTTTTAAGCA